CTTTTCATCTGTTTATTCTGCTTTTCAATTCATATACCTCCCTCCCTACAATTATATTTTTATTTCTAAGATCTCTAAGGCCCTTTTTCATTACTGCTCTTATTCTGAAACTGTCTGTTCTTGTTTCATGAATGCCGTCTTTTCTCTTATGTCTGAGTATTTTGATTATACTTGCAAGTTTACTCGGATTCCTTTATGAACTCTGCTTCTTCAGGTGTACGTTCTTCCATTTGTTGAGTCTGTGTTCTCTTCTATAATCTTGGCTTCCCTCAAGTGTTTGGCATTTGAGGAGATGTCTTGGGGGAAGATGATGCTGCTTCCACTTCTTGAACTCCACTCATTGTAGTGAGAGTTAGGTAAGGTCACAGTACTTGGAGGGTGGTAGTGTGGGTGCTCCCTGTTCCTTCTGGGCATCACTAGCCCCTGGGGCACTGCCTTCCCTCTCATACCCAGGCTCCTACAGTCACTGCTCCCATCTGGAAGACAATCCAGGATATGTATAGGGTGGGGCTAGGTAGATGGGCAGTGGTGCACAGGGTTTATCTGCTTGGCTCTTCTCACTTTGATTCTCCAAATAACGATCCCATTTGTTGTCTTTGTGGCCCTTGCTGTTTGGGCTTCCACCAGTTCTGCGCTCTGCAGCAGAACTCTACCACTCGTAGTCAAGGGCTGCAGCTTCCCTCTTCAGTCTGAGCTTTGTGTTTCTTAGGGATTTCTCAGTAACGTACGTGTCAACATCGAGTTCTCTTTTTTGTTTTGAGCTCAGCTATTCATGTTTATTTGTTCATGTATTTATTTATTGTTCATACCCTCTCTATTATTTTTAGGGATTTAGTATGGGAGGGGCAGACTGACGTGTTATCAGTCTGATATTTTTGAAGCTGGAAGTCCTGTTATCTTTTTTGATTCATGCCCTGCTTTTGCTAAGATTGCCTTGTAGTGGCAGTACTGCAAGTGGACAGCGTGTAATCACTGATGAAGAAGAATGCTGGTGACCTTTTGGATGGTTTACTTCCGCACCACTGCTTCTAGAGTATATCTTCAGCCCTTTGTTGAACTGGGTTAAGTTGAACGGGAAAAGTGTGTGTTGCTGGGTGGGAGTGAAATGTTGCTTGTAGTAGTGTCTGTGCACAGCTGCACCTGCTTACTTTTTTTGTTATTCAATTATTAATTTACCTGAAATTTGTGTGTTTACCTACACTTATTGCAGATTCAAACATCGAAATATTATATATAGCAAATGAAATTTACTGAGATATTATTAGGTATTAATGTGTTTTTGGAAAAAATTGTTAGTTACAATAGAGAAATAAAGGATTATTTTACAGTCTGTACTGGATTAGACTTAGACTGGGATCAGGGACTGAGAAAGACTTAGAGGTATAGTTGAGAAGGAACAAAAGAGAAACTTAGAAAAATAACCTAATGTACATATATCTCTATATTTGCCTATAGTCTGCCTTTTTTTCTTAAAATGTTGGTTTCTTTTCTTGATTTTTCTCCAAGTTTCATACTGGGTCTTTTATTTATTTATTTATTTGGTCAGTCATGACGCTTTTTTTTTTTTTTTAAAGTTGGGATATATTTCACATACCACAATATTTTCCCTTTTAAAGTATACAAATCAGTGGTTTTAGTATATCTACAAAAGTGTGTAATCATCACCAGTGTTTAATTCCTGAACATTTTCATTGCTACAAAGAAGCCGTATACCCATTAACAGTCACTTCCCATTTTCCCTTCCCTCTAGCCCCTGGCAACCACAAAGTACCTTTTGTCTCTATGGATTTGTCTATTCTGGACATTTCATATAAATGGAATCAAACAACATGTGACCTTTTGTGTCTGGCTTATTTCACTTCCAGTGTTCCTCCATGTTGTGGCATGAATCAATACTTCATTCCTTTTTTATGGCAGAATAATATTCCACTGTATGGATATATCACATTTTGTTAATCCATTCATCAGTTGATGGCCATTGGGTTTTTTCCACCTTTTGGCTGTTATGAATAATGCTGCTGTGAACATTCACATACAAGATTTTGCTTGGACATATGTTTTCATTTCTTTGACTATATTCATAGGAGTGGAATTGCTGGGTCATATGGTGACTCAATGTTTAACCTTTTGAGGAACTGCCAAACGTTTTTTTTTTGAAGCACACCATTTTACATTCTCACCAGCAGTGTATGAGGGTTGCAATTTCTCCACATCCTCACCAACATTTATTATTATCTGTCTTTTTAATTATAGCCATCCTAGTGGGTGTGAAGTGACATCTTATTGTGGTTTTGATTAGTATTTCTCTGATGGGTAATGATATGGAGCATCTTTCCATGTACTTATTGGCTATTTGTATATCTTCTTTGGAGAAAAGTGTGTTTAGATCTTTTGCCCATTTTTTTAATTGGGTCGTCTTTTTATTGTTGAACTGTAAACAATTTATATATTCTGGATACTGGACTTTTATCACATGTATGATTTGCAAGTGTTTTTTCCCATTCTGTGGCTTCTCTTCACATTCTTTTTTTTTTTTTTTTTTTTTATGAGGAAGATCGGCCCTGAGCTAACATCTGCCAATCCTCCTCTTTTTTTCCTGGGGAAGACTGGCCCTGGGCTAACATCCGTGCCCATCTTCCTCTACTTTATATGGGACGCCGCCACAGCATGGCTTGGCGGTGCGTGCCTGGGATCCGAACCGGCGAACCCCGGGCCACCACAGCGGATCGCGAGCACTTAACCACTTGCACCATCAGGCTGGCCCCTTTCTTCTTTTTTTTTTGATGAGGAAGATTTGCTCTGAGCTAACATCCATTGCCAGTCTTCTTCTTTTTTTGCTTGAGGAAGATTAGCCCTGAGCTAACATCTGTGCCAGTCTACCTCTATTTTGTATGTGCGTCGCCACCACAGCATGGCTGACGCCTGGGATCCAAACTGGCGAGTCTGGGCTGCTGAAGCAGAGCGCACCGAACTTAACCACTACACTACGGGGCCAGCCACTTGTCTTCACTTTCTTGATAGTGTCCTTTGAAACACCAAAATTTTTCATTTTGATGAGGTTCAGTTTATATTTTTCAGTTTTATATTTTTCTGTGGTCCTTTATGCCTTTGGGGTTATAGCTAAGAAACCATTGCCTAATCCAAGGCCATCAAGATTTATACGTATGTTTCCTTCTAAGAGTTTTATAGTTTTAGCTCTTAAATTTAGAAGTTTCATCCATTTCGAGTTAATGTTTGTATTTGATGTAAGATAAAGGTCCAACTTCATTCTTTTGCTTGTGGGTATCCAGTTTGTCCCAGCATCATTTGCTGAATGGGTCTTATTTTTAATAATCATCTTAGGTCCATGATCCCATTTAATTATCATAACAGCCCTATGAGATTTTTATTGTCATTATCAAACTTCATTTTATGGATTTTGAAACTGAGTCTCAAAAGCTAAGTATCTTGTCCAGGGTCTCAAAGCTCAAACCCCAGGTCTTGTTGACTTCAGAGCCTAACACTTAAGCACTAGGTGACACTTCCTTTGCTTCTGTGAAATGTACACGCTCTTGGTCAAGTAGGAACGCTGCTCAGACATTAAGTGGATGTCTAGGACTAAAGAACATTTTGGAACTAACACTGTATACTTCAAGAACAAAGACAAGAGAGAGCCCTGCAGGGTTTTAAGCTTTTACACTAATTCCTACTCATATCCACTAATGCCTAATCCCTTTAGGACCCTTGGCAAAGGATGTTAGGATTGAATTTTTGTTACCAGCGACTAGAGTAACGCTGACTTTTAGAACTTTTCTGTGATGATGACGGTGTTTTATGTCTGTGCTGTCCAGTACATTAGCCACTTGCCAGATGTGGCTGTTATACCCCTGCAGTGTGGCTAATGCAACTAAGGAACTGAATTTTTTGTTGTTATTGTAAAACATACATAGCATACAATTTACCATTATAACCATTTTTAAGTGTACAGTTAGTGACATTAAGTACCTTCACAATATTATACAGCCATCACCACCATCCATTTCTAGAACTTTTTTATCTTCCCCAACCGAAACTCTGTACCTGTTAAACACTAGCTGCCCATTCCTCTCAGCCCCTGAAAATCACCATCCCACCCTCTGTGTCTGTAAATTTGACTCCTCTAGGAACTTATTATAGGGAGGAACTGAATTTTTATTTTAATAAATTTTAATTTAAATAGTCACATAAGGCTAGTGGCTACCTTATCAGACAGCACAGGCCTAGAGCCAGGGTGGGCCTTGGAGAGGTGTGCCTCTCACAAAGTTTACATCTGCTTTTTTTTTTTTTTATTTGGTGAGGAAAAGTGGCCCTGAGCTAACATCTGTGCCCATGCTCCTCTATTTTGTATGTGGGTCACTGTCACAGCATGGCTTGATGAGTGGTGTAGATCCGTGCCCGGGATCCAAACCTGCGAATTCGGGCTGCTGACGTGGAGCGCGCAAACCCAACCACTACACCACTGGGCTGGCCCCTTACGTCTGCTTTCTCACACAGTCTGAGTCTGAGCATCTAGTGCATGCCCACTTTCCAGGCCTTTGTGGCGTGTGAGGCGCTGTCCGGGGCGGGTAACTGAGAGAGATGTAACTCAAATAAACAAGCATCTCTTTAGGGCCTAGAGACTCTGACGATCTAGGCAAAGAAACACATTGCTCTGGAATGCTAAGGCTGGATTCTTTCCCCGACAGTCTGCTCCAGGAAGTCCGTGCTCTTCATACTTCGGATACCCTCTCGTGAGGTGGACTTGCATAGGTTTTCTGGCCCTCTGGGATGGTGTGAGAGGTGGTGAAACAGCATTTTTCAGTGTTTTGCACTTACTAAAAGCTGGCCCCTCAGTGAGTGGGGTGATGTCGTTAGCACTCTCCGTATTTGGGAAAGTAGGGCTGACTGTGAATCATAAATCACATCTGAGGTGGAAGTGAAACTCCTCTAATTAACCACTGTGACGGCGTCTCACCCTCATTCTCGTTTTGTGGTTTCTCCAGTGCTGGACTTCAGTGATCCCTTCAGCACCGAGGTGAAGCCGAGAATCTTGCTCATGGGCCTGAGGAGAAGCGGCAAGTCGTCTATTCAGAAAGTGGTCTTTCACAAAATGTCTCCCAACGAAACCCTGTTCCTGGAGAGCACCAACAAGATCTGCAGGGAAGATGTTTCCAACAGCTCCTTTGTCAATTTTCAGATTTGGGACTTCCCAGGACAGATTGACTTTTTTGACCCTACGTTTGACTATGAGATGATCTTCCGGGGAACAGGAGCGCTGATATTTGTCATTGACTCCCAGGTAAAGCTCAGTCTCGGGGTGCAGTGGGCCTGCAGCACCCCCATAGGCAGCCCCTCCTCCCCCGTGTTCAAACAAGTTCCTTTGTGATGGTTTTGGTTTGGTTTTTGGAATCGAGAATAGGCCTTTCTACCAAACACGCATTTCTCAGTTCTGGCTCTTAGGCTTTGCAAAGGAGAAAAGGCTCCCTCCAGGCAGCCCTGGCAGCAGTGGCGTTAGGGGGCTGTGTGCGTCTCGGCAAACCATAGGCCTAGGAAACCCCGCACATGGAGGGGACCATCATACAGGCCAAAGACTGCAGATATGTGTCCCCCCTCTGGTACTCTTGGCAGACATCTATAAAAGGTCACATCTGCAACGAGTGCAGATAAATTTACATTTTAAAATGTTTACTATTTGCTATGAAGATAAAGTTCTAAGTGTGAACATTTTTCTTCTGAAACAAATTATTGTAATGATTACTAGTGCACAATTGATTAAGACAGCATAACTATTATGTATTTTATAGGTAACTAAATATAAAAAGTAAAATTTGAGATAACTATATCTCTTAAGAGGATAGATATTTTTCCACTTAATTTATGTATCTATGCTTGAATAAGACAGGATTTGGCATCAATTCCATTTTTGTCTTTTGTTTGTATAGATGTAAGCACTGAGAAACCTTGTTCCTGTAAATAAGTAGGTGGATATGGGTTGTGTTTTGTGGCAGTGTCCACTCAGTTATTTAAACTTCTTCCAAGTTATATCTCCTCAATTACCCAATTTTCTATCTCGAAAAATTTCTTTTAGTAGTTTATCAATAGACATCCTGATTGTATCCTTCTTTTTCTTTGCTGAAAGCAGAGAACTGGGAACCCCTTGACTGGTGAAGAGCCCTATTACTCAGGCATTAGAGTCATTCAGTTGATCAGGATTCAGAACTAGTCGTCTGAATTGTGTCTTTGGCACTGGGTTTTATACTCCTGGCCTTTCTCCTGTGAAGTGGGAGCAGGGCTGGTGGTTAAAGGAGGAGAGGAGGGAAGTAGGAGGGCCGCAGATGCATCTCAGGCAGGTCAGTGTTAGGAACGAGTCCAGGCAGCAGGATGGGGCCTCTGACGCTCTTCAAACTGCCCCCCGTCCAAGTGCTCTTAGCAAGTGTCCGTGATGCACGGCCCAGCCTGAAAGCCCTCCCAAGGGCTCTCTTTTGCAGCTGTGGGGGAATCAAAGGCAACATGCGCTACAGGAATGCGCTAAACCAACTCTTAAGTCCAGGTCTTGCCATTTTCCTGAAACTGTGGACCTACAATCAGACAGATGCCCCAGCATCCCGGCCCTTCCCGGATCCCCAGTGGTGTTAGGGAGGCAGGGCTGTGAAGACTGTTAGAAGTGATGGTTCTGAACCCACGCTTGGAAAACCGTTCTCTGAGAAGACTGCTTGTGCCTGAGAGCACCATAAATTCATTCACGGAACTAGGTGCCTGTTTAATATAATAATGAAATTTTCTACTAAACCTTTTAGTTCCAAGCGACTGCACTATGTACTTCTGGTGTAGCTGTGGGAGCATGGCCATATGGTTAGAAGGGTTTCTTTCTTCCTTTTTTGGTGGGGTGTGGAGGGGGAGACTTTCAATTCCAGTGCCTGGTCCATGAACAGCACTGCCTCTCCTCCCATGGCCCGTCCAGAAATGCGAGCTTGTAGACATCTGCATCGGGTCCAGGGCCTGCTGTCAGCTGCTGCTTTCCTGGCTGTCCCACTTGTACTGACCTGTTTTCTCGCCCATCTGTGGCCTTGGCAGTCTCCCCTGCCTTCCTGCCTCAGATCTGCCAGCACCATAAATTAGGGAGCCTGGAGCCCGAGAGCAGCAGCCGGGTTGTGTGCACGCTGCTACAGGGAAGGCAAGGCTCCAGCGATGTCACACTCATCTGTGTCTTCTGAGCGGCGTTTTCTCCCTGAGTCACACGGCCACTGTTTCTGTAGTTGAATTAGGTAGCAGCAGTGGTAGCGCTACCTACGCATAAGTAGATTCCAACTAGATGACTCATCATTTCAAGACAGTGGCTTAGTAAGTCCTTACTTCAAGACTATATTGGGCTACGTAGCACTTTGCATTTATGGAATTCAAATTCCCAGTGCAACTCTCTCTCAGGGGTTTGTAATATTGCTATAATGTGTCTAAAATAAGTATACTTGTGTCTTCTTCTTCTTCTTTTTTTTTTTTTTTTTTGCTGAGGAAGATTTGCCCTGAGCTAACGTCTATGCCAGTCCTCCTCTATTTTGTTTGTGGGTTGCCGCCACAGCATGGCCACCGACAGACGAATGGTGTAGTCCGTGCCTGGGAACCGAACCTAGGCCGAGGAAGCAGAATGCACCGAACTTAACCGCTAGGCCACGGGGCCGGCCCCTCACTTGCCTCTTTTTAAATTGCAGCTGTAATTTCGTTTTAATTTTACCTAAACACAAAAAAATGAACCTTTAATTTGGGTTGGTAAATGTGTTTTTGGTTTATTTTATTTCTTCGTTTGTTGGGGTTTTTTTAGCTATAGGGCAGAGAATGGTAGAAGAATGTTGGAGAAATCCATCTTTTTAAGTTACACTTTTAAAAAGCTAGGAAAAGAATTGTTGAGAGCTGTTATTTACTAAAAATCAGGAATGATTAAATAAGCAGTTTCAGAGTCTGTCTGATATACTTTCTATTGGAAGCAGACTAAAAATCAGCCTTGTGGGAATCTTTACATGATGTGATTACAAGCACTGAAATGAAAACCAAACTTGAGGGAAGTGTCCCAGCAGCACTTGAATGTCATCACCTTTATTTCTAAGCAGTGCTCTGCTGGTCTGGCACCTAATATTTTTATTCTTCCTTGTGAATTCCTCACCATCACAGGATCACCAGATAAATACATCACCAAGGAGAGAATGTGTCCTCACAGAATGCTGTAAAATAAAAGAGAATGAAAGCATCAAGGGTGATTTCCTGTGAGCTAAATGAGTGACACTGCCCGCCCCCTGGCAGAGCCCACAGAATGTACCACGTCCCGAGGGCCACCCTCGGCCCCTGAAGCCGTTTCACGTGTGCCTTGGGATCCAAAATAGAGCGTCTGTTGGCTTGACCCACGTGGGTGATTGTGACCTGCCTGTAATTCCTAGATCTAATTTTGGAATAGAAACTATGCAGCATATTTTTCCTTTATTTTTATTTGTTGTAGAAGATAATAACAAACACAGTAGAAAAAAATCATTCACAATCCCTCTGCTCTCATAAACCAAGTATTTTCTTCTTTTTAATGTCATTTTTAGTCCTGGCAGCTATATACCACTTCATCCGTGTGTTGGTAATCAGACCATTTTACATGCTTGGCGGGGAGGTCAGAGCAGCAATTTCCAGTCTTCTGAGAGTGTGAGGCTCTTGGCATTGGCTGGTTTTGCTCACAGACGTCCCCTTAACTCGCCTCTTCAGTTAAAGACATAGGCAATAACACTTTTTTTAGATGTGATTTACATACAATAAAATGCACTCATTCTAAGTGCACAATTCAGTAAGTTTGACAAAGGTACACACCTTGTAACCACCTCACAATCAGGGTAGAGAATATTTCCACCACCCTAAAGGGTTCCTTTGTGTCCTTTCTCAGACGGCCACCAAACCCCAGCCACAGGCAACTGCTCATTTGCTTTCTGTCGCTATAGATGAATTGGCCTTTTCTAGAGTTTCATATACGTGGAACTGTACAGTAATAACTGTAGTTTTTTTTTTTTTTTTTTTTTTTTAAAGATTTTATTTATTTTATTTTTCCCCCCAAAGCCCCAGTAGATAGTTGTATGTCATAGCTGCACATCCTTCTAGTTGCTGTATGTGGGACTCGGCCTCAGGATGGAGGTAGAAGTGGTGCCTTGATGCGCACCTGGGATCCGAACCCGGGCCACCAGCATTGCAGAGCACGCACTTAACCACCAAGCCACAGGGCCGGCCCCAATAACTGTAGTTTTTATGATATATTTTAAGGTATTGAAAAAGTGCTGCAAATCATTAATCTGGAATTTTTCCAAAATGCTTACTCTGCTAGCCCAGTGTCCAAGATTTGTCTTTCATGTTAAACAAGTCTTTAGAGTGTCAAGGATGAGAAAGACTCCATTTGCTGTTTTTCTCTCGTCATAGTTTCCTATTAGTATCTTTAATATTTTGATTTATCTAAAGACTAGGGATACATTTTTATTAATTTAGTTTGGGGAATAGACAAATGCCAAAAACATCCCCCCTGTTTTAGTGGCTTTCTGTATTTATCCAGGTTTGGAGTCAGAATGGGGGGTGAAATGTCCTTTAAATTCTGTCCTGCAGATCCTTTCCCTTCTTTTGCTATAGAAACGAGACCTGTTCACACACTTTAAATTGGCAATAGTTAAGAGATCTGACAACACTGAGTGTTGATGAGGGTCTGGAGCATGGGGTGCTCTTACACATGTAGTCAAGTTCAAGGTGCTCATTCCTATGACCTGACAAGTCCACCTTCTGGGTAAGCCCTGAAAACTCACAAACAGGCACAAAGATGTGTACACGAGACTGTCCACGTTATCATATAGTTAGTGTCTGAACTAGCACATAACTGGAAACATCTGACTGTCCATCAATAGGCAAATATATGGTAAATTATAGACTATCCATACAATGAAATTTTATAGAGCCATTAAAAGAAATTATGCACTAGAGTAATGTGCTTCAGCCTACGTGAATCTCACTAACATTATGTTGACTGAAAAAGGCAAACTGTAATATACATGCACCTTGATATTTCTGTAAATTTTAAAACAATGTGGATGAATTCTTGTATGTTGTTTAGGGATACATATGTATGTAGTAATATATAAGGAAATGAGTGAGAAGAAATGCTAAACTTGGGATAGTGGTTACCTCTGGAGGGTGGAGGGTAGAGTGAGGGGTGGGCTGGGAGGATGGGGAGAAATACACAGGGCTTCAGTGTCCAGTGTTTGATTTCTTAAACAGAGAGGTGCAGACACAGGTGTTCATTATGTTATTATATGAGTATCATCTATAGGAAGGAGAAAAAAATAATATTGTGTTATTTGGGGCAATTAATCTAGACCAGAGGTCAGCAAACTTTTTCTGTAAGGGCCAGATGGTAAATATTTTAGGCTTTGCAGGCTGTACTATCTCTGAGGAGTTTCCGTAGAGGAAAACCACTCAGCTCTGCCACGGTACCACAAAAGCAGCCATAGACCATCTGCAAACCAATGACTGTGGCTGTGTTTCAATAAAACTTTACTTACACACAACAGGCAGTGGCCCAGTTTGGCCTGAGGGCCATCGTTTGCTGACCTCTGCTCTAGACCAGTGGTGCTTAACATTTTCCCTCCTGGCTCCTTCCCCATCCTCCCAGTGACCCGTATCATGTTTTCATCTCTGACTGTTCATCACACTTCACCAAGACACTCGAAATCTGGGAGCAGTAGTATCTCAGGGAAGGTCCTGGGTGGTGAGGGGTCATTTTCAGTTCATAAAACTGCAGCTCTGATCCTTCTGACTATCGTCAGCTAAATCAGCACTGCCTACAGCTACATTTTTCTGGCCTTTCTTTTTCATCTCTTTGTTAACAAAACTTAAGTTTTCAATCTTCCATTCTGTGAGAGCAGCTTTTATTTGGACTTTTGCAAAATATTTTTGGGGGTTGTACTCACATGGTTTTCAGATTAAGAGTGTATGTGGAAGAAAAAACATGGTCACTGTGAATTGAGGTGATGTTCAGGTTAATTAGCTTGACTGGGGGGATCATTTCACAATGTGTACATACGTCAAAACATCACATTGTACACCTTAAATATATGCAATGCTTGCTTATCAATCACACCTCAATAAAGCTGGTAAAAAAAAAAGAGTGTTGGGGCCGGCCCAGTGGCGTAGTGGTTAAGTTACCGCATTCCACTTTGGCTGCGGCCCAGAGTTCATAGTTTCGTATCCCAGGTGCGGACCTACACACCACTCATCAAGCCACGCTGTGGTGGCATCCCACATGCAAAATAGAGGAAGATTGGCACAGGTGTTAGCTCAGGGACAATCTTCCTCAAGCAAAAAGAGGGAGATTGGCAACAGATGTTAGCTCAGGGTGAATCTTCCTCACCAAAAAAAAAAAAAAAAAAGTATATGTGGAAGGCAGCTTGGAAGGGTTCAGGAAGCAAAGCAGCCTCTCCTAACAGGAGCATGCCTTTGTTCCTAGGATGATTACATGGAAGCCCTGGCCAGGCTGCACCTCACGGTGACCAGGGCCTACAAAGTGAACACTGACATCAACTTCGAGGTGTTTATTCATAAAGTGGATGGTCTGTCAGATGACCACAAAATCGAAACCCAAAGAGATATTCACCAGAGGGCAAATGATGACCTTGCAGATGCTGGATTAGAAAAAATTCACCTCAGGTGAGAACAGAATCCCCTCGGGGTCACAGAAAAAAGGAAGTTTGGGGTCCAGAGTCACCACGAGTGGTTTGGCTTGGGCAGTAATTTACCTTTTTACCCTGTTTTGTGACATTGGGATAGTATTTGGGAAAAGCAGACTTTGCATGTGCTAGTTCTAATCTTTGGGAAAGGCAGCGGGGGTTTAAAAAAAATTTTTTTTAACAAATGGTCAAAGCTAAGGTTCTTTCCCCATGTGAAAAACACATAACATAAAACCCATGAACCTAATCCAGGGAGTTAATCGATGCTGAAGTTTATAGTTCTTGATAAATATGATAGTATCGATAATCATAAGTAATGGAGTGCTCCAAAAATAATCCGAATAGAAATAAGTACAGAGGAAATCCACTTCTCTGTAATTTTTTGTGGAGTAGTATCTGCATCCTTCATTTTGCAAATTGGAAAATGAAAAGATTAGATGCTTCTGTATCAGTAATATAACTGTTACTGACCTAAGAGGCGTGTGTGAAGATGGTCTGGTGTGGATGCTCCTGCAGGAGGTGAGGAAGCCCGCCGGTATGGGCATTTCCTGCTGCACTTTTAAGCTTTCCTGTCCAGATAGTCAGCAGACAAGAATGGGCACAGTTCTCGCTTTTTTGGGAGTTGGGCAGGAATGGCTTGTTAAGACGTGTGCATTTTTTACCAAGGTTGTTTTGAATTCTGAAGGAGGCTAGAATGTGTGTGTGAGAACTGGAGTAGACACAGAAGGAGGGTATCGGTGTTAGGACATGGCCTAAGCAATCTATTCCTCAGTTAATAAAGGGAAAAGATACTGAAATATTGTTTCCTCTTTCAGCTTTTATCTGACAAGCATATACGATCATTCAATATTTGAAGCTTTTAGCAAAGTGGTTCAGAAACTCATTCCACAACTCCCCACCCTGGAGAATTTGCTAAACATCTTTATCTCCGTAAGTAAATAATATCATCCTGTTAGAGTCATGTGCAGACTTTAAGAATAACATTGATCTTGTTTCTGCTTGCTCTTACAGCATTCCAAGGTCACTGAAGTATTATTATTATTATTATTATTTTAAATGTTTTTTTTTTAAGATTTTATTTATTTATTTTTTCCCCCCAAAGCTCTAGTAGATAGTTGTATGTCATAGCTGCACATCCTTCTAGTTGCTGTACGTGGGACTCGGCCTCAGGATGGACGGAGAAGTGGTGCCTCGGTGCGCGCCCGGGATCCGAACCTGGGCCACCAGCATCGGAGCGCGCGCACTTAACCACCAAGCCACGGGGCCGGCCCTGAAGTATTATTTTTGAAGATTGCTCCTACATATTGTTTTAGGTCCTTTAAAATTTAACTCCTAAAACGGATTCTTGTACTTCACTGGTATAATTGGAGTGTTTATTCAAGTTGTAGGCAATCATTCACTGTTAATAGAGTCCTACCAGAGGTAGGGAGCATTAAAGTTGGTTTTAGCTATAAGATGTATGTTGTTGAATTTTTTTTTTTTTAATTTTATTTATTTATTTTTTCCCCCAAAGCCCCAGCAGGTAGTTGTATGTCATAGTTGCACATCCTTCTAATTGCTGTATGTGGGACACGGCCTCAGCATGGCCGGAGAAGCGGTGCCTCAGTGAGTACCCGGGATCTGAACCCGGGCCGCCAGCAGCGGAGCGCGCACACTTAACCGCTAAGCCACAGGGCCGGCCCTTGTTGAATATTTTTTGTATATTTATCCTTATGAATGATGTGCTGGCTGAATGACTCCTAAAACCCATCAGCTCTAGGCAGGCTCCGCAAAGTAGAATTAAGGCAGACCTGTTGGTTGTACTCACATTTATCCTCACTGCACAATTTTGAGTTTGTTCGTTTAGAGTTTTAAAATTTAGTTTTTAATTTAAAATCAGTAAAATTAGTGTTTTTACTTGACTTTTTTCCTAACATCTCTAAGAGTCAGGAAACACTGCCCAATTTGTTTACCTAAAGTAAATAATTTGTGATAATTGATTCCAGTTTTCATTTGTTATGCAAGTCCATTATAAAGAAGTTTCTGACAGTGAGGTTCAAATTGTAATAAAATGGAACATCCTAAATTTTTATTAACTTAATTTTTTCTTGTTCATATTTTACACTGATGATGGTGTATAATTTTATGTAACCATGACATGGTCTGAAATGAGCTGTCACTTTAAGGCAGCATCTTTTTGTTTCAGAATTCTGGAATTGAAAAGGCATTTCTATTTGACGTGGTCAGTAAAATTTACATTGCAACTGATAGTACCCCAGTGGATATGCAGACCTATGAACTCTGCTGTGATATGATCGATGTGGTCATCGACATCTCTTGTATCTATGGGTAAGTAAGACTTCTCGAAGGCTACGATTGAGCCATACTTCTCTTTCATAACCTTTGAGACATTTTGCATTTACTTATTTGATTTTAATTCTTTTATTTTAAATGATTGAGATCTATAAATAAATATACCATTTAACATGCAATAATAATAACAGAAAATGCTGAGTAAATTATGCTAATAATTTCATTGCATCCATTATATCATCTAATTCTCCACTATTCCATGAGGTGGGAATTTCTAACCCCATTTTACAGATGGGGAAGCTGAGAGTTAGAGTGGTTAAGCTTGGAACCCTGCTCACACTGTCAACAAAGGGCGGAACTAGAATTTGAACTTAAGTCTAACTGAATCCTGGTTCCTCTACTGAAAAATCTGTCATCATATCATAATGTCATTTACACTTGGGAGAGACTAATAGGATCCTTGAATTCTGCATAAATATCTCATGTTAACAACAGTTCTGTTATCTTCTTTACTACAGGAAATAACTGCTAGGTTTTTTTTTTTTAATATACTTTTGATTGTCTTCTACTGTGGGCAGCAGAGAATTATAGAACTAAGCAAACAACATTACCTGTTTGTGACTATGGTCTTAACATTCTTAGAAAACAGAACTTCCTGTAGCCTTAAAATAATATAAAATAGACAAGGAGTGGGGAAAACTGATTGTGTTACCAGACACAGAAACAATCGCGCATAATTATAAATTTGCTGAATGGGTGTTGTACGGAGTGAATGGGTGTGAACTAGTTTGCCTGTCTTATTCAGACATCAGGTTGTATTGCATCTTATACCCCCATCCAGTCATTGGTGAGATAAAGCTTTTCTTCATCTTCCTCTTTGCTCACCGGCTGTGACCTGCCTTACACAGCCTCCTCTTCCTCCTCCTCCTTCAGCTTCTGTGAGAATCTCAGTCTCACCATTTCTCTCTTCCACTGGCTGAAGATCCTTTGCCCACTAGTTCAGATTCTCTCTGTTAGCTCTGTTACACACAGGTACACACACAGTCCCTTCCGTTATGAAATAGGGAAAGCGATACTTACCTCACAGGACTGTAGTGAGGATGAAATATCGCTGGGCTCCCCCTGGTAGGCCCTGGATAAATGTAGCTGCCGTTATTATTATTGTTATTATTATTAGTATAAACACTGCCATCTGGCTTTAGAAACAGAGCTTATTTCCCAGGATTACTGCCCTGCGGTACTCTCTTGTTTTTAAACTGTAAGTGGATGACCTTGAGTCATGGAAGCTGAATGTACCCTGATTACAGTCTAGAGTGCCGGGGTAATCAAATACAATGAACAGCACCGTTAATCTGGCACATATTCAATGAGATGCATAATCAGTATTTTGCCATATGGTAATTAGACATAAGTGGTAAGTTGTTCATGTGCATTATGTTAATCAGAGTCACTCTTACCCAGCTAAAACAAACACGGGGAGGGAGGGGCTGGGAGGCCGGAGCTGGGCCTTGCCGCCGGGTTGTTTTTCTGTGGTGGAGTGCAGTGTTCCTGAGAACCCACCTGGTTCGGTAAGAACCAGTCTGGGTCACAAACGGGGCATGGGTTCTGGGGTTTCCTCAGACTGTTTGCTGGAGCAGCAGTGAGCCAGCCCGGTTAACCAGCAGGCGGCGGGCGGAGAATGAGGAAGCAGGCAGCCTGTGAGTGGAGGTCTTGCTGCCAGGTCTCCGCTGCCCAGTGGAGACCAGCAGGTCCTAGAGGCAGGTGATCTGGTGCCTCGGCGGGTCTGCTCTGGAACTCAGCTGAGATTCTGCTCCGGCGGGCGGCTCTACACACACAAGCACGTGCACGCTTTCAAATACCTTCCATCTTCTTGGGTTTTATGGCTTTGTAGATGAGAACTTGAGTAGTAGAACATAGTTGTTGCAGTTGTAAAACCCAACCAATTTCTACTTATAATTTTTTGTTCTTTTTTGTTTCTACTCTGTTTATTGTTTACTTTTTTCTTTTTTTTTTTATAATTTTTATTTATTTATTTTTTCCCCAAAGCCCCAGTAGATAGTTGTACGGTCATAGCTGCACATCCTTCTAGTTGCTGTATGTGGGACGCGGCCTCAGCATGGCCGGAGAAGTGGTGCTTTGCGCGCCCGGGATTGAACCCAGGCCGCCAGCAGTGGAGCGCGCGCACTTAACTGCTAAGCCACGGGGCCGGCCCAATGTTTCCTTTTTTTCTGATTATGAAAGTAATACATGCTCATTGCAGAAAATGCATGAAAGTATAAAGAATAAAATTAAAATAGGCCATAATCTCATCACCTAGAGATAGTCACTATTAACATTTTTATATACTTTATTCTTATTTCTGTGTGTAATTTTTAGGATAATGTGATCACTTTGGATACATAATTTTATATCCTGTTTTTTTTCATTTAACATTATCACCTAAGAATTTTCCTGTTATTAAATGCTGTTAATAAACAATGTTTAGTATCTATATAGTATTATATTTACTTGGAAATTTTAAATTCACCTTTCTTCATTGGGTAAAAAATTTTAATGTTTCAGCTTATTGTTCGCAGAACATTACTTATAAGCAAGAGAAATTCAGTCTAAAAAACAGCTAAAAATACTGCAAAGAGCTAAGAATTCTGTTAAAGCATCTTTAACATCTGAGATCCAACATTCTTAAAGATTTTTCTTTAATGTTTTTGTAGGTAATAGTGTTGAATCCTTTTCTGAAAAGCTAACTTTCACAATTTACTTTTTTTTTTTTAATTTTATTTATTTATTTATTTCCCCCAAAGCCCCAGTAGATAGTTGTATGTCATAGCTGCACATCCTTCTAGTTGCTGTATGTGGGACGCGGCCTCAGCATGGCCGGAGAAGTGGTGTGTTGCGTGCCTGGGATCCGAACCCAGGCTGCCAGCAGCGGAGCGCACGCACTTAACCGCTAAGCCATGGGGCCGGCCCTCACAATTTACTTTTAAGTAGCCATGTACATGCCAGTTGAAAATACTCTCAAAACTGAAAACCTACATTTCCTTAAAAATACTCTACAATTCAGACTTTTCATTTACTCTGGTTTGTCACACTACCCCTTTGTGATATTTATGAGATTGAAAGCATTAACTCTGAAGTTAGTCAGATTAGTTTGAGGTCCTGGCTCTCCCCCCTCATCATCTTTTTTTTTTTTGTGAGGCAGATCAGCCCTGAGCTAACATCCGTACTAATCCTCCTCTTTTTGCTGAGGAAGACCGGCCCTGAGCTAACATCTATTGCCAATCCTCCTCCTTTTTTTCCCCAAAGCCCCAGTAGATAGTTGTATGTCATAGTTGCACATCCTTCTAGTTGCTGTATGTGGGACGCGGCCTCAGCATGGCTGGAGAAGCGGTGCATTGGTGTGCGCCCGGGATCCGAACCTGGGCCGCCAGTAGCGGAGCGCACGCACTTAACTGCTAAGCCACAGGGCCAGCCCCTCCCCATCATCATCTTAGACCAAGTTACCTTATTTTCTCCCAGCCTCAGTTCCCCAATAGCTAGCTTAGAGGAGTCTTATGCCAGACAATGGGTAATGCATGGTAAGAACTAGAATGGTGCCCATCACATAGTAAATGTTTAGTAAATGCTGGCTCTTATCGGCAAAAGTGATAAGGTTTAGCACCAGCTGAATTATTATGCTGTATTAATAAGGTTTAGCACAATTCCAATTAAGTCAGATTTCTGATCGATTATTCATAAATTTGGGAAGTAAAAATCAGGAAATGTATAGACAGTTTCACATAAGAGGGAAGGTACAGGGACATGCTCCTTTGCCTATGAGGAAAGGATATATAACTCTTTGGTTACATCAGTGTCTTCAGAGGTCCAGTTTTGGTCATTAAGGCCATAATTGTAATAATAATAATAGCAGTTAACATCCACTGTGCGTATGATGTGTTCTCAGCACTGTGCTCAGTGCTGTATGTGTATTATTTCATTGCATTAGGAAACTTTGAAGTAATTACTGTTAGTATGCAGAGGAGGAAATTGAGGCTCAAAGAATTTACTCAACTCGCCAAGCTCACGTAGTAACTGAGAGAGCTGGGATTCAAATCCAAATCATCTGTGTCTGCAGGCCACACCTTTTCTTAAATAGACCAATATATTTATTTAATTTTTTATTTTGAAAAAATTTCAAACCTGTAGAAAATGTGCAAGAATAGCACAGTGAACTTCTGTATACCTTTCACTGGGATTCACCAGTTTCTATCATTTTGCATGTTTGTTCTCTCTCTCTCTTTCTAATACGTATTGTTAGTTTGTTTTTGCTGAACCATTTGGGAGTAAGTTCCAGACGTTATGATTCGTTGATCCTAGCTGCTTGAGCATCTATCTCTTAAGAACAAGGACATTGTCTTACAGGACCACGGTTTAATTATCAAATTAAGCATGTTTAACATGGCTACATTACTCTATTATCTAAAATATAGTCCATATTCAAATTTTACCAATGGTCCTATTTCCATCTTTTAGTGGTTCTTTCCCCTGATCCAGAATCTAGTCCAGCACTTGGCTGTCTTGTCTCCTTGGGCTTCTTTCCTTTGGAACTGTTCTTTGGCCCTTCTCGGGCTTTCGTCAGACCATGCTTTCAGCAGCCTGGTCATTCTGTCACAAGAACACAGGAAGCCTTGTGGGCTGCGGCGAGGAGAAGACCTAACTCCATCCCTCACCTGTGTTCCTCAGGTGCCTGGAGAGGTGCCCAGCTGCCGTGACAGCCGCTCATGGTGTCAGTAGGAAAGTGACTGTCATACACTGTGTACATTCTTGTGATTGCGTGTTTCTGAGCTCTTTTGCTGAAGGCACTGGAAGTGTAAACTCCTTATCCATATGATTGTCATTCTGTGTGTTAAAGCTGGTCTCCGTCGCTGGGTTACATAGTCCTTTCTCAATGGTCAAATCTGTTTTGGTTTCTATCCCCATTTAGTCTCAAAGAAGATGGAGCAGGAACTCCCTATGACAAGGAATCAACAGCCATTATAAAGCTGAATAATACAACAGTTCTTTATTTAAAAGAGGTGACAAAGTTCCTGGCTCTTGTTTGCTTTGTCAGAGAGGAAAGCTTTGAAAGAAAAGGTAATTTTTTTGTGTGATTTAAATGAAGCATTTTAATTCAGATGAATACTGCCTTTACTGCTTGTTGAATGTGGGTGGACAGCAGCATCCTCCTTGAGGTTTCCAGACTTGAGTCACAGGCCCCCTCGGCTCCTGCACACAGCAGTCAGTCTTTTGGGATCCGTGAACCAGCCTGCCCTCTAGTGGTGCAGCTGCCGTGAGGTGCAGTGGAACCAGACGATCCTCCCAGGGGGCCTTAGCTCTTCTGGGAGTGGAGCTAGTGGGGGCGTTGTTGCCAGGCTGTAAAGTCTCCTGGCAGGGGGAGGGCTCCCCAGCCTACGGGGAGGGCTGAGGCCTCCCTCTTGGTCCACACCTCTAGAAGGTCTTAGGGACGGTGTGACCTCTTGTTTCCCCTCAAGTAAAGGAGAGGATGACAGGACCCGTGCAACATTAAAGCTGGAGGGTATTAACTTCTGTTCAGCTTTCATACATTAAGTCCTCAAAATAAGGGATAGTATCACGATTCGAAAAAGGGAAGACATGAATATACTTAATAACATCACCACATATCCTTTTAGGACCGAATTTTGTTTTATTTTAAAACAAAAGCAATTAACCTCATAAACACACTCATTTTCTCCCTACTGTATAAACTGGGAAATACCAGCTTACTGATGTGCCTAGGGTTTTTCCTAGTAACTAGGGTATGACTTGCCAATTTTTTGGGTAAAAAATTCCTAAGAAAGTGGCAATAGTAACATTTACTGAAAAAGCCTTTTTTTCTTTATAAGCGATGCATGTTCATTATAAAAATACTTTGAAAATTTAGGAAAGTATAAAGAACAAAATAAGACCACTCAATTTCACCATCTAGAGTTAAATGCCATGTTAAATTTCTGGGATTTTCTTTCTCCCTCCTTTCCTCCCTCCCTCCCTCCCATCTCCCCTTCCTCCCTTCCAACAAAAGTGGGGCCATATTGTCTCTATAGTTTTATATCTTGTTGTTTTCATTTATTTATATCATGAAAATTTTCCTAATTCATTGACCATGAAAACATAATTTAGATTTTTATTGTTTCTTCTTATCACAAAAGTAATAGATTCATTTAGAAAATTTAGAAATAACAAATAAGCAGAAAAGAAATAATTATTGATAAAATTTTCAGTCAGATAATCACTCAACATTTTCTGCATAACTTTCCAGCTTTTCTCATATATATAATATATATATATACACATATAAACTATGGGATTGTATGATAAATACTCCTTTATAACCTTCACTTAAATTATTACAGACATCTTTTCAGTTCACTAAATCTTTTTTTACCACATCGTTTTAATGATTGTGTTAGATTCTTCTAGTGTTAGAAATTTACATTTTTTCTAGATTTTGATGTTTATTAAATAATTTATGAGGACCTTCTTTGCACTAAATATTTGTGTACATTTTTGGTTATTTCCTCAGGAAAAACTTCAACAAGTAGAATTACTTAGATCAAAAAGTAGGCGCGTTTTGGTAGCTTCTAATGCATATTACCAAAATGTCCTTCAGAAAGATTTTATGAGTTTGTGCTACTAAGAGAATATGAGTATGTCCATTTTGCTGTATTCTTATCAATATTGGGTTTTTGCATTAAAAAATTGATCATTGAAAACTATATATTACTTAAATTTACATTTCCTTGCTTCTTAGTGAAGCTGTGTATTTTTCCTGTATTTACTGTTACCAACCAAATTGCCTTTTGTGTCCTTGGCCCTCAAAACTTTTAATTAGATGGTGTTAATCTTTTACTCCTTATTTTCATCTTGTTGAAAGGAAGAACAGGTTATGTAATAGATTCATGGAATTTTCACGATAGGCAGGACCATACCTTGTTTCACCCTCTCAATTACAGTTGATTTTACCCAGACCTGGGACATGTAAGTGACTTTCTCCCAAGGTCACACCACTAGTGTAGGGCCGTCAGGGCTCAAGATTCCCAGGCTTCTCCCTATATAGAGTCAGTTGTGTATATTGTGTGTTAAACCATTATACGTATATTTCCTTGGTTAAAGATATTTCTAGAATTTATATTTGGTGTTGATTTAATATATCATGTTGATTTTGGAAGCTTAGGAAAATAAAAATAATGCAAATAATACAACTACAGCCCCAATACCACGTAAGGTGGCAGCAGGTCCTATAATTTAGGGCACGTTAGAATTAACCTAGAGAGCTTGTTTATTTTGAACTGATTTTAGACTTAACAGAAAAGTTGCAAAAATAATATATAGTTTACATATATTCCTCATCCAGCATCCCCGAATGTTAACATCTTACATTCTGTAGTACAGTTATCAAAACTAGGGAATTAACATTGGTATAATACTCAAAACTACAGACCTTATTCAAATTTCACCAGTTTATCAAAAAATGCCCCTTTTCTGTTCCAGGATCCCAAATTGATTTAATTGTTATTTCTCCTCTTCTCCTCCAATCTGTGATAGTTCCTTGTCTTTCATGACCTGGACCCTTTTGAAGACTACTGATCACTTATTTTGTAGAATGTCCCTCAAATTGGTTTGGTTTGTCTGATGTTTTCACACAGTTGGAATGAGACTATGCACTTTGGCAAGAATACCACACAGAAATGATGTTGTGTCCTTCTCAGTGCATCATATCAAGTGGTTCAAGATGTTGATATGTCTTGTTACTGGTGATGCTGACCTTGATTTAGTTAAGGTGGTATCTGCCAGGTTTTTCCACTGGAAAGTTCCTCTTTCCTTTTGTAGTTAAGACTTTTCTTTCTTTCTTCTTCTTCTTTTTTTTTTTAGGAAGATTGGCCCTGCACTAATATCTGTTACCGAGCTTCCTCTTTTTCTTTTTTTCTCCCCAAAGCCCCAGTACATAGTTGTATATCATAGTTGTAGAGTTGTGGCTCTTCTATGTGGGACGCCGCCTCTGCATGGCCTGATGAGTGGTGAGTAGGTCCGTGCCCAGGATCTGAACCGGCGAATCCCAGGCCACCGAAGCGGAATGCGTGTACTTAACCGCTACGCCACCGGGCCAGCCCCTAGTTAATACTTTCAAACTATGAAAATCCTGTTTCCCCTCACACTTTTTCCCACTAATTTTAACACCCATCTGTGGTTCTGGAAATAAATGGAAGCAGGGATTTATCATGTGGATCTTTGGTAAGTTATTGCTAAACCACCTAGGTGGGATCATCTCTGAGAATAGGCAGATTTTGCAGAATTTATTAAACTAACTAGAAACCTAGGTATTAGTTTTAATGTTATAACTAAGAAATGTAAATAAATAGGCAGTGTTTAGCCCCATCATGTTAAACCTGTGTGCTTTTTAGGGTGACTAACCATCTCCATTTGCCTGGGACAGAGGGGGTTCCTGGGACAGGAGACCTTCAGTACTGAAACTGGGAAAGTCCCAGGAAAACTCCAGCTATCAGGAAATTGTCTTTAAAAAGAAGTTAATGCTTAGAAGTGCATGGAATAGCTTGATTTGTTTTTGTTGCTTTAATCTTGAGTGTTGTTGAGGCCTGTTGGTGCTGATAATTACTTGTTGATTAGCTTTTCCTCACGTTGGTCTCCTCCTGAGTTTTCATTAATGATCTCTGTCACTGCTTTGGCAGAAAGCAAAGGATTGAAAGCAGATGTGTGGTTCTCAGCCTTGGCTGCACATTATAGGTATCTTGGGAAGGGAGGCGGTTAAAAAAATACGAACACCTGGGTCCTCCTCCAAACAATTAGAATAGAATTCCTGGGAGAGGGGCCTGGGGTTTGTTAATTTTTTAAAAGTTCCCTGGATGTTTTTCATGTGCAGCTAGAGTTGAGAACCGCTGAACCAGAGAAGGATGTTGTGGGACCATCATGCAACTGTGTATGGTAGTGAAGATAGTGCTTATTCTGTTCATGTGCCTGTTCCTGTATTTTCAACTACCTTTAATGAAAGGGTTGAAATAAACAGCACACTCTGTATGAATGCTTACTTCCTTTAAAAACCTCAGTTGTGAATTTTCAGTTTTACTTTTAAAACTCCAAATGCAGCAAGATTGCTGTTACGTGTAAAAAGTGCAAAGATGAATAAGTTAAGATTTGTCAGGAACTATCAGTAGGCTGTCTCTGAAATTTCCTGAGTATTGGATTGCACCCTTCTCGTTGAGCCTGAGTCAAGCTAAGCTTTCTTCCTAAGGCAGTTGGTTGTGCATATTATAGGGAGAGAATTGTGAGGTTGTTCTCACATCTCATATCCAAATTCCCACTAAAAAAGATCATTTCTTTGCTCCTTGTTTATTTCTTATTACTTTCCCCCTTATTGTCCCTTGGTCTTTTCTGGAGGAAATGCACCTGTGGTCACTATTGATGCACAAGCAGCAGGAGTGCCACTCAGGGCTTCCTGCTCCTGGAACCTGAGACGGCGTTTCCTGCCTCCAGTTCACTTGCAGTTAGTTGTATGACTCCTTTGAAGAATTTCACTCCTTGGGTAGAATCCTAATTCTTTCTTTGGTTGGGGCACTGGAAGCATCACCTGAGTGGATGGAAGTAATTGTTGGGCTAATTATTTTAATAAGTGTAAAGATAGTAAATAGAACCAACTGCCTTATCCTAATTGGTGTAAACATAATGTTGCTCACAACACTTTTATGAATTAGTGGTGATGATGAAAAATACACTCAAGACTTTGGATTATCTTTTATTCTATTTTTGTACTATTAATTTCTGAAAACACAAGAAGATTCTCCCCTACTGTATCTCCATTTAAAATTTACTTAATATTGAAAAACCGAGAGTGTTATTGGTTGTTGAATTCCTGAGCTCGGAGTTGACCTGAGGTGACTGTTACCACTCTAAAATCAAGGACTTGGCTTTCCCCAGGGCTTTATGACCATGGCTTAAATATAATAGATATTCAGTAAATATTGATTGATTACTTGATTGATACTGTGGCTTTGAGCTCAGTCACACTCCAAGTCAGGGTCTGCCTCCACTCAGAGTCAATTTAATAATGCCTTTTGGGGAAAAATAATAATAAATATTTCGTCGAAGATATATCTTAATTGTAAGACATCTATTTCTGAAGGGTTAAAAAATTATGCAGTTCAGGTGGTTCTTCAACTCTTTTGGGTCATAGACACCTTGAAAATGTGGTATATACTCTGAAACCTTTCCTTAGGAAGAAATACACATTCACAAGACTTTGCCTGCAATGCTGCAGACCTCCCATGGAAATCTGTGGACCTTATGTTAAGGCCGCTCCTCTACTGCCCCCTACTGGCTGGTTTTCGCCATGGCAGACGTGAAAAGAATTATTTGTGTATGACATTTCTAAATATTTTTGTTTTCTTCTCCAGGGCTTATTGACTATAATTTTCATTGCTTCCGGAAGGCCATCCATGAAGTTTTTGAGGTGAGAATGAAAGTGGTGAAATCGCGAAAGGTTCAGAATCGGCTGCAGAAGAAAAAAGGAGCTACCCCCAATGGGACCCCTAGAGTGCTGCTGTAGGTGAGGTTTCAGGAACATCTTTTGAAATCAGACCTTTCAATGAGGCTGCTGCGCTGTGTTGCACTAGAGGAAGAGGAAGAAGGAGATTGGGACACATGACCTATATTTGTTGTAAAAAAAAAAAAATTCCTGCAACCCTCTTGATCTTCTCTTTTTTAAATAAAGTAAGCACTTTGAAGCAAAAACTTGTATATTAACAATGAAGTGGAATCCACTGTAATTTCATTACCTAATTGTAAACTTTTATGGTCTGTAGTCAGAAAAATCCTGTGTGAGAACTGCCAGGAACTGTATATATTTTGCACTTTTTCATGTTTTTTTCTCATTGGACTAAACTTTGATAAAACAACTTTTCTAAGCTTTTTTCTGTACTTGGTGTCGAGGACATGCATAGTGTCTGTATATGGCAATCAGAAATTAATCAAAAAGCGATGCATTGGCAATGACTTTTTATAAATTTGGGGATCTTTGCTACCAATTGTTGAGAAAAATCATTTTTCAGTGAGCTGGAACAGATTGGGGCGGCAAGCTCCAGGAGCGATAAGAACTGTCCTCTGTTTATAACTGGCATAAACAGTTTTGTAGAATAATATTAGTACCAAACTAATCTAGAAATTTCTATAGCCGTGGCAGTGCTTCCCTACTCAACAGTTTTTACGAAGCTCTTTACCTCAACACACATCACTATAATCACTTTATACAGAGGGGTTATTTATTTTTGCTGCATTACCGTTCTTTAGAATCTTTGGGACCAGATTTCCAAGATGGTGCCTATCACTGGAGAAAAAGAAGAATGTCGCTGAATTGCAGGGTTTCTGGCGGCTTTTCTGTGCCTGCTGCCAGGCTAAAAAGTCACATCAGAGGCCACATCGTTTCCCAAATGTAGGTGATTGACAACTGCAGATTTAAAAATATACATATACAATTCTGTATGTTTGCTCCCTGTGAAATGAAATGGGCTTGTTATTGTGCATCATTTAAAATGTTTATTTAGGACTGTTTTTTTATTGCTCCGTGACCACAGGGAATGTCTCAGATCTCTACCACAGAGCCTAATCCTGGTGGGCACGTTTGTCACCTCTGAGTCTCCTCGTCTGTGACAGTGTGCCTTGTGGACTCTGCCTGTTCCCACCTTATGATGGAACTAGAGCTCAGCTTGCCAGCAGCATGCTCTGCACAGCTGAAAAGCCTTCCTGAAAACCTCTAAGGCTCAGTGGAAGAGGATGGCCAGAGGAAACGTTACAGTTAACTACGTATTTGTTTCTATGAAATTCTTCCACTTAATGTTTATTTTAGGCTAATAGCAAGTTAAAGGACTGCTAAATCAACCCTCATCCCAAACCATTCCCCGTACATAATTCTAGGTCTATCCCCAGGGTCAGTGCCCTAAGGCGTGCTGTGGGTATTAGAAAAAAAAATTTTTTTTAGCAGAGCCTCGTAGGGATATCACAGCTGGTCCCAACAAACTGTCTCAAGTTCCTAAAGCAACTAGTCCTTGAAACTATCCCACTTCTGTAGCTTCTTTCCATCCTCTCTCCTTCCTCTCCCCATGTCCTATTCCTTTGAGGCTGGTAACTGAAGTTTAAGATGGTAGCTGATTGGGGTTTAAGGTTTGAGCCCTCCCAAGGGTCTGTGCATTTTAGAAGGAAATTTCTAAAAATGAAGGTGCCCTAACTCCCTTCCTCATGATTCCTACTCAGAAAGCCGGGTAGTGGAAACCCAGGGTTCCAAGGAGGTCTTTTCCCTAATTTCCAGACCTATACCCTGTTAGACCTTTGCCAACAGGCCTGGGACATGTGGGTTATTCTTATAAACCTAATTCTCTAATATTCTTTACACAGTGTTTCTTTTTGAATAAATAAATAAAGAATCGCTTTTCTAATGTGACTTTATCCTCAAGATAGAGACATCTGCCTATCTGGTAAATCACACGTTACTTAAGTATACATATTATTGTAACCAGGTGGAGCTTCCATTTTTAAGCTGGGTATATGATGGGTTTTTGTTAAAATGTGCCTTAAAAGCCTATTACTTCAAGAGCAAATGATTCTTTGGGGGAAAGGCAAAATTAATGCTATGGCATAGGACCCAAGTTTGTGGTAGTAAGTGCACTCTGATTAATCACACACTAGTGTATAGATTACTTCCTCAAACCTGTAAGCACAGCAATGACCTCTTAGTTAAAGAGAGGTGTAGGAGTTACGTCTAAGTGTTCAGTTTTTGAAGTCTGTGCTATTGGAATTACAAAAATCTCTTCTATTGCTTTTGCATTTTATTTTTGATATGGGACTTAGCTTACTGTGATGTGTATGGCCCCGTTTAGGCCTCAAATCTAATGCTATAAATGCAAAGTCCAAATACTTGGCTACAGCGACTGGTCTGGAACAGTTTTTGCTACTTTTCAAAGGTTAAGAACTTGACCTACAGGTTTCTAGGGCAATTAGAACTTCTGTGTGGAGGTGAGACTCTGGGAATTACTATCCTTGGTTATTTTCAGAGATGTAGATTAGTGAGCATGAGCAGGGTAAGAGTGTTTTTGAAGGAATGTGAGTCAAAAACTGGTTGACATTCATGGACAGTGTTATTTTATGAACATAATATATTTTGGACCCTTAAATATAAAACGACTGAAAACACAGCAATATTGTCATATACGGGTTACATGCTCACTCTATTTGAAACATACTCCGGAAAAACAGCTAAACCGTCTTGATTATTCAAGTACGGTATGCATTCAGTGTATACGGACTGGATATAATTTGTAATCAAGTATGGTATTACGTTTTACTTTAAGCTGTGCGTCATTTATGACCCTTGTTAAACCATTGCTTTCAAGAATGTTAACTGCCAATTTAAAAGTGCATGTCATGCGCTCATGTTTTGGTAAGGATCTCTTCATTTTACTTCAGGCGTATTCATAACTAATCTTTCTGGGAGCGGAATGGACTCTTTAGTGAAGAGGAAGCGAGGTCTTTCATATTTTTGGGGTTGTTCACCATACACACACGTCGCTGCTTCATTGGCCCTGGTGGGTCCCTTGAGTAAAATGTGTTTGTCCTGCTCAACCAGCTCTCATTTTATGGAAAGGAGGATAAAGTGCTCTATTTAAATTGGATTTGCTTTTATTTTTTTTACACCCCCTTATCTTTTACTTTTTTTTTTTTTAAAACCCTCCAATCTCCCCACATTTTTGATGGGGACATGCCTGTTTTGACTATGGAACTGTTATTTCAGTAAACTTCAGATATTAATTCTTGCTAACTCTGGCTCTAATCCCCAGCCATCTGGAAGTTCTTTTCCTAACAGTCCACCTTACTGTTCCTTACTTGCTTGGTGAGATTCTACCCTATAATGACTTTTACAGATCCCCTAAAAGTTCTCAGAGAGGGCCAGCATTAGATGTTACAGCTTATATATGAAATCCTGTTTCTGACTGGAAAACCTGATCCAAAATAATTATTTCCAAGATTCTTTTTTTTTTTTGTGAGGAAGATTAGCCCTGAGCTAACCTCTGGGCCCATCTTCCTCTACTTTATATGAGACGTCGCCACACCATGGCTTGACAAGCAGTGCGTTGGTGCGCACTCGGGATCCAAACCTGCGAACCCCGGGCCGCCACAGCGGAGCGCGTGCACTTAACTGCTACGCCACCGGGCTGGCCCTCCAAGATTCTTAATCAGTGGTGATGTTGAGTTTAGGAGAAAGAAAATGTTATCTTTAATAGAATTATTTAATAATAATAAATATTGATTGAGTGCACACAATATGCCACACACTACTCTTAAGTGCTTTTACATGACTTATAAATCCAAGAGGCAGGTACTATTATCACCTGTATTTTACAGATGAGGCAGCTGAGGTCAAAGAGAGGAAATAACTTGGTCAAGATCTAGTGAGACACAAAGTCCAGAGTCTGACTCGAGTCCACCCTCTCAACCCTAAGCAGCCTCACCACACATCCCCTTAAACGCCCTCCTTTCACAAACATGAAGAGAGTGACTTCAAGTTTAGGATTTATTGCTGCATGGGCTTGTGAAGGCTGAAATGCTGGGATATGTGAAATACCTGTCCTTACGCAAGAATCAATAGGAGCAGTCTTCTAAATGTACTTTACTCAGAGAAGAAAGTCAACAAAGATTGTTTCTTTCTTCCTAATCCATTAAATAACTCTAGTGCCAAAAATAATATTAACAGAGACTGTTTAAATATCATAAGAAAATTTAAATGCCTTTTACAGCCGTTTGGTTTTCTAAGAAGCAATAGTATATCAAACTGAGAAAAGACAGAATAAGCCTTTGATCTTAGCTGTATTCAACCTTTTACCTTGAATTTTGTTGTTGTTTTTTTTTTTGTGAGGAATATCGGCCCTGAGCTAACATCTGCCAAACCTCCCTTTTTTTTTTTTTTGCTGAGGA